TGCCAAGTGCCTGCTAAGTTGGGGGGAGGGGAGAGGCGAGGAGGCTGCAGGGGTACTGCAGACTGGGTCCTTGCCTCTGTAGAATATACAGTCTCCTGGAAGAGACACTGAGTGCAGTGATTGTGTGGTTAGTTGCAACTGAGACAAGAACCATGAATCTTTACAGAGGGACTTAAAGGTACTTTCTCTTCATTTCTTTTTTTTTTTTTTTAAAGATTTATTTATTTATTTATTTATACAAGCACTGGGTACAGTCAGAAGCGCGGGTGGGTGAGAGAATTCACCAGAGCCAGAGCGGGGAGCAGAGCAGGCAGAAGGACCGAAGTACACTGCTGAGGGGAGCAGCGGGCGGCAGGAGAGGTCTGCGCGCCATGTGGGACTCTCCTCCGGTGACCGGGGAGCAGCCGGGGATCAAACCAGCGCCACAGAGGCTGCGGGCAGCTTCGCAACCCAGTGCTCAACCACTGTGCCACCGGGAGGCCCCTCTTCATTTCTTTTTATATCGACAACTTCCCCTTTTATTCCTGTGACACAGAGTGACTGACACCAACTGGCTAGGATACCTTCATGGATTTTAAGGCTGACCTTCTGATTTTTCATCCAAATCATGTTATTTTTGAAAGGAACACTATTAATAATTGTACTGGGAAAACAGGCATAAGTAAACCCAATACCAATCACATCAAGATGTATCCTCATTGTCGTTATTATGCAAATAACACTTAATTGTAATGAGACATTGGGAAGGTTTTAGTCTGATTCCATGATAGCTAAAACTATAGTGTTGAAAAGATGGCGCAGTCTGAAATGTAAGAAACAAAGTCCTCAGAGGAACAAAGCAGTCCTTCCTTCGCATCACTTCTCTCCCTAAACCTTACCTCTATCACCCAACTGGTCACAGATATTATCGACTTAGGTCTTCGTCTCATTTGCTATAATTAAGCTAGGTAAGATCTGAGAGTAGTGTCTTGCTTATGGCCTGGAAAGGAATTAGTATCTTTTGAATTGAGATGATTTGAACAAATAAAAAAGATTTCTGGAAATTTCTGTTCTCTTAGGAGCATTCATAGAATTATCTGTGCAAGAGATGTGATGTGTAATGTACTTGTAGCACCACCCAGCACACTTATAAAGAACCGTTCATAAGCTAACTCGGTGTGTCTGGATTAAAGGAGCAACACATGGGTCTCCCCAGTGGCACAGCTGGTCGAGCGTAGTGCTGTGAAGCTGTCCGCAGCCTCTGCAGTGCGGTTCGATTCCTGGCCAGCCAGGGAACCCACATGGTGCAGCAAACCTCTCCTGTCTCACCTGCTCCTCCCCTCAACAGTGTTTTCGGTCAGGCCTGCAGGTTCTGCTTCCCGCTCTGTCTCTCAATTCTCTCACCCTCCCGCGCCTCTGGCCTGTACCCCAGTTCTTGTATAAATACATAAATTTATAAAAAATATAAAGGAGCAACATGTTCAGGATGTTGAAGAGCATCAGCTCTGGAGAAAAGACTGGTAGGCTCTGAATCTAGACTTTGCAACTCTCTAGGCATATTCGGAGAATTCAGGAAAGGCTTTTTGGGGAAGTTGACATTTGCCTGAAGGATGAGTTAGTAGAGGGAGGTGTCGCAGAGGAGGGCAGGAGAATGTGCTGCAGGGGATGCGAATAGCCGGTATGGATAAAAGGCCATGTGGCTGGAGCCTAGGAAATAAAGGTGACCTGGCATGAGGAGATTGAGCAGCAGGAAAAGGAATTAAGTCCTGTAGCGGCATTTGGGTCTTCAATCTAAGAGCAATGGGAAGCGCTGCTGTGTGGGAGGGGCTGCAAGGGAAGGCAAATCATCCTGGGGGTAGGAAATAAAGGGCGTGTTGTCTGTAGGGAACTGAACGACAATAATAAAACCAAATCAAAGTTTGTCTGCTTTTATTTTCTTCATTACTGGTAATTCTATGTCAATCAGGAGTGCACTAGTAAATGCTTAATATTTGGTTTCTGGGGAAAACAGAGACATCGTATATACATGATATATACATATACATAGATATATAGAGATACATACATACACATACATACATGCATACATATATACACATACCTGTATGTATATAAATATAAATATTCCTAATATAAAAGATGTGTAACACAGTTTACATAAAATAATATAATATGCAAATACTCTGTTGTAAAGTTCATATAGCTGCTGGATTCTCATATAATGCTTTTGCTGATTTTTGCTAAAGGCTCATATACTTGTATCCAACCAATGCTTGTAATTCAGCCATGATTTGACAAATGAAATTGCATCTCCATCTGCTCTTTTCCCAATAAATTTTATTGTCATTAAATCTAATATGTGAGCTGTTCAACAGTTTCTCATCCTTGTACAAGTTAAACCCATCAAACTAAAACCTTTTCATTTCAGCCGTAAGTGCGATACATCTTAAAGCTTAACCTGTATTATGATATAAACATTTCCTCCTTCAATTTCTAGAGACAAGCACAGAAAAAACGAAGTCAGTTCACACTGTTTGCCGGTCTCCATGGTGTGCACACTCCAGAGGCCAGCTGCAAGGACCAGCTGACTCAATGGGTGTGGGCTAGGGAGATGCACACACAGTAGCACACACTGTATGCAGCAGTGGAAACAGATGACAGTGAACACACGAAATAGATATTTAGCAAGTAGAACCTTGATTTGACAGATGCTAAGCTTGAAGCAGTTTGGGAAATCCTGGGCTCATGAGCTTCACAGAGACACTTGCGAGGAAGCCGGTAGTACAAGCACAGGTTGCTTTGCATGTCTTCCGTGCGAGGTGCTGGCAACACGTGCGGGTAATTCTTAGCTAAAAAGGAAGCTAGATAAATGAGCTTAGAACCCAGAGAATTCAGAAATTGGAGCTGTCAAGTTGGGAAGTACCCAAGTGTTAGAAGTGGATTAAATCATGCAGGGGGAAATGTGGCGTGAGAGGAAAGGCCTGAGACCTTAAAGATATGCCATTTGGAGGTCATCAAGAAAGCAAGCCAAGGAGGGGTGGGAGTGGGGGTGGAAACAGAGCAAACTACTGCTGTCACCAGCACAGGCGGGTCGCTTCGGGAGGAAAAATGCATTTTGCTTAAAGAGCAGATAAAACGAGAAAGTGTCCTTTGGGTGTAGTGACTGTGGGGCTGTGGGCGACGGTAGGACACGCAGGTGGAGTGTGGTGACCCAAGATGCGAATGCGAGTGGCAGGCAGCTCCTTCCACCTCCAGGGCGGAAGGCAGGGCGGCGGCTGCAAGGGTAGGAAAGGCTTGAGGTTGAGTAACTGCTAGGAACGCAGAAATCCGGCTACGAGGGAGAGAGCTTCATCTTAGGCTGAACGCTGCGAGGCGGGGAAGGGCCGTGAGCGGCAGGCGCGGGGTTAGGTCTGGCGATGGGGCACGGGACGCTTCTTTCCCCTGAACAGGGGTTAAAGGAACGCGCCGGCCTCGGGAGTCAGGGGTGGGGCAGGGGCAGCCCGGCGCAGGGTGACCTGAAGGGCCACCCCAGGGTCAAGACCCGGGCGGGGAGGAGGGGCGGCCAGACGCAGACCCCGGGCCGCCGCCGCGGTCAGCAGGGAGAAAGCGGGGCCACGTCCCAGCGCCTCCCCCGGACAGGAGCCGCCGGGGTCCGCGGCTGCCCGACCGGCCCCTCCGCCGGGCGCCGCCGGCCGCGCGAGACAGGCCAGGACCGGCCCCTGCGGCGGCGGGCGCGGGAGGGAGGCGAGCGCGGCGTCCCCCAGGCCCGCGTCTTGCGCTCCCCGGACGCCTCGTCCCGGCCCGCCAGGGCCGCCCCCTCCCGCCCCCGGCCCCGCCCCGGCCCCGCCCGCGCCGGGCGCCCCGCACTCCGCTTCCTGCTCCGCGGGCGAGCGCGTCGGGCCCTGCGCCGCTCCCGCTCCCGACGGGCGCCCTCGGCCTGACGTCAGCGCCGCGCCCGCCAATGAGCCGAGGAGGGGCGGGCGGCGGCGCGCAAGTGACGGCGGGAGCAGCGAATGGCGGCGGGGCGGGGCGGGGCGGGGGGTGGGGCGAGCGCCCGCGCGCGTGGGGAACCGCAGGCGGCGCGCGGCGCGGGGGGCGGGCGCGGCGCGGGGGGCGGGCGCGGCGGGGGGCGGGGGGCGCGGCGCGCGGGGGCCCCTCCCCCTGCCCGGCTGCGGGCGGGCGCCGAGAGCGGCCGGAGTTCCCGCGCGGGAGGGCGATGCGGCCGCGGCGCGGGCTCCTGGCAGGTAACGCGCGGGGCGGCCCCGGGGGCCCGCGGGGCCGCGGAGTCGGGCGCGGGGCGCACGCGGGGTCCCCGCTGCCGCCGCGCCCGGAGCCCCGTGGCCGGCCGAGCCCCGCGGCGCCGCCGCCCGGGAGCGGTTGCGGGGGCCGGGGCGCGCACCCGGGTCGGCGGCCGGCACCGAGGGCGCGCGGGGAGGGCGCCCCCCGCTCCTGCGCCCCCCGCCGCCCCGGCCCGCGGCCGCCCGGCCCCCCCCGCCCTCCGGTCCCCGCGCCCCGGGGCTGCGCCGCCCCGCGCGGGCCGGGAGTTCGGGGAGCCGCGCCGGGCCGGGCCGCCAACTCCGCGGGGAGCCGGCGCGCGGGTGGGCCGGGCTCGGGCTGGTCTCGCCTTTTTCCAAAGCGCGCACAAAAGGGGGGAGGAGTTAGAGGCGCGACCTGGGAGCCCGGAGCCCGCCCACCCCCTCTTCGCCCGGGCGCCGCTGGAGGGGCAGGTCCTTGAGAAACTGGGGTGCGACTAGCGGGGCCCCCCGTGCCCCCTCCCTGCGGTCCCGCCCGCCGCGCCCCAGAGCGGGTGCAGAACGCGGCTGGCTGAGCCGGGAAAATGGCCCCGAGCTGGCGAGCCGGAAACTTCGCGGGACGGGGGAGCCGGGCCCGGGCGCGCGGGCCTCGGCGCGGGATGGGCGGGGGGCGGGGGGCGCCAGCAGCGGGCGGTCCCGCCGGTTCAGCGGCGCGTGCGTCTCCCGTGCCTGGAGGGCGCCCGGAGAGGTGTCGCCAGCTCGGGGCTCCGGATGCGCTATTCCGATTTTCTCTCTTCTCAGCCTGAGGAGGGCAGCCGGCTGGCCGGTGGAGGGAGTGCTGCTGGGGAGGCCGCGACACCCCCCACCCCACCCCCAAGGCCGGCAGGTGCATGTGGGAGAGTCTTCGGCAGGTGGCTGCTGCTCCCCTTGTCGGGCAAATCCTTTAGGTTTGGACCCCTGTCCCCATTACTGAAGCTGCAGTTTCAGCCTCAGGTCACTGGGTCCCCAGTTTAAAACACGACCTTTGTTTTTGGGGGTAGCAGAGCAGCATCCCAATTTGAGATCTTTTTGACCTTTTCACTGGCGATCGATTAATTTGTTTCAGTCCCCTGAAAACAGGTATGAGCGTAGAAGCTTGAGAAATTGAGAATTAAGAGACTTCTGCTTTGTTCCAGCTATAACTGCTGGTGAAGCCCTGTGAACGCAGCGTGCCGTCGGCCCAGGAGTCATGTAGGGATCAGCTTTCTCAGGGGTGAAGCTCCTGGAGACTGGTTTGGTCTGAGCCTGAGCGGGGCCTATTTCTCAGTCCATAAGGGGACCTTAGAGCCAGCCACACCCAGGAGCCAGCTCCTGGGCAGAACATCACCTGGAGAAGACTGGGGTGATGTCGCTAAGAGCCCGTCAAAACAAACATGGAAGAAGTCCTTTCTTATTTCATGGCTTGGGTACAAAAAAGGTGGCATGGTCTGGCCCCCTGCCTTGCTGCACCTCCCATTGTCAGGGCTCTACCTGAGCGCCCGGCCAGCTGGATGATGGCAGAGCAAAGGCCAGGCACTGCTGGAGGCGGTGCTAGGGCAGGATCACTGCACATGGCTCTGCAGTTTATGCTGGACTCACAGACCCCCTGCCCAGGAAGCAGGATCCTGGCTTGATCTGCCCCACAGAAGGGTAGGCTTGTCAGTTACATCAGGCCACCCACTGGGTGACTGCTGGCCCGCATTGGTAAGCCCAGCTATAGGAGTAAACAGTTGTTGGCAATATCAGGGTTCCTGAGACAGAGGGTCGGGAACTACCCCCCCAATAATAACAATAATGGGAGCTAAATTCTTCTATACATTGTCTCCTTTACTCTTTACCGTCCACCACCCCAATATAAGTAGTACCCTACTATGTCCTGCAAGAATTGATCCTCACAATGACTGAAGAGCTCAGGGTCATGCAGGTAGCAACTCCAAATCTTTCTGCCCCTAGAGCCTGTGCTCATAACTCCTGGGCTGCACCCTGAGACTTTTACATTGTGCCTTTTATTGATTTGCTGGTCCGCAGTATTTTCTGAGCTATGCCACTTTACACGCCAGCTGTAACCCCAATTGTAAAGGGCCTTTCTGGGTATTTTGCAGGGACAGCAAAGAAGTGGGAAACTTGAAGTGTAGAGAAGGCTACAAGGAGGGGAGGGCCAGCCAGAACAGGGAGGTCAGCATCCCCGATGTCCCTGCAAGAGAAGAGGAGGCCATCTCTCTTCTTTTGGCTCCCCAAGAATCCAAGCCTGGCCCACAGAGCACCCCAGATGTTAGGGGCTACCATCTGCCTTCCATCTATCTCCCAAGTCCCAACCAGGTTACTATGCGTTTCAAATAATCTGCATGAAAAGTGAGGCCCAAAAACTCATTTAAGGAGCACAAATCAGTTCCTGATTGATTCCTCTTCCATAAGGCCATTCAGACCTTCCTACCAGTCTTTTCTGGAAGATACTCCAGTGTCTGGATTGAAAGCAGATGACAGCATCAGCTCACAGCTCTATCTGCATCTAGCTTGGATATAAAATATTTGCTTTCATCCACATTTGCTAAACTAATAAACATTTCTGTGCCCTCCAGGTTATGTCATGATAGCTTCTGAACTAGTCTTTTTTGGTTTTCTGGTTGTTACTTAGTAGCAGGAGTAATTTCTTTCCTGAAATGTCAACCCTGTGGTTGGGGTCTGTATGGTGACACGATGTGTTTGCAACTGAAATTTGGGTTTGACCAACACCTTAGCCTCTCAACAGAAAAGGGAAAAGGTAAAAGGGCAGCAGAGAGGAGAAGGAATATTGCCCCAGTGCAGTCTGGGGACGTGAGTTCCCTCCGGTGGGGAGCCTGAGGGCCCAGCGGTGAGAGCTGCGGAGCCTTTGTCTGAGGAGAGTGAATCTGGGCCTCTTTCTGGCAGCTGCAGAGGGATGGTGTGGCCCTAGAGTCCCCTTGACTGTTGGATCTACCCCGACTTTCACCCAGATGGAAGCCTCTAGAGAAGATGTGACCTCTGGTGACCTACTTGGCTGACTGATTATTCCATAATCTGGTGTGTTTCCTTGGAGACCCAGAAACAATAGATCTACGTTGCCTCCCATCTGGGGCCTGGGGTTCTCCTCCATCAGAGCATGGAAGGTGTGGAGGCCGGGCCCTTCCCTGGGGACCCAGAGGCTCGCCACCAAGCCAAACTCAAGGGAACTTTCCAAAGGAAATGGCTCTATGTCTTTCCACACCCTCCGGGAGGAAAGTCCTTATAAACACAACCGGCCTCCCCTGGGCTTCACCGAAGGCAAGTGGTGGTGCTCAGCACACTCAGTGGGTGTCTCATTGAACCCTTGTGAAGGCATGAGAGAGTGGGAACAGCTATTGTTCCTATTTTCAAGGTGAGGACAGAGGCCAGAAAGGTTTAGTGACGTGTCCAAATGTACAGTGTTGGGGCCCAGGCTGTTCAATACAAATGAGAGCCTGTTAAATTCAAAGACAGCACCTGTTGAGCCTGGGGGTGGGGGGGAGATAACATATGATGTGGGGGTTTGCGGTTGGGGTAAATTCCAAGCCAGGAAGCTTTAGGCAGCTCTCACTTCTGGCAACTTCTTGGGCTTTGCAGAGCGGCATGGAAGAGGCTCGGAGGGGCTGGGTGACCCGCAGCCAGGCAGGGCAAGAGACAAAAATGCCTGCTTTTAGCCCCTTGCCTGTTTGAAGTCTTGATAATTTTCATTGGAGTCCTTCATCATACTGAGGTCACATCCTCGCCTGGAAGGGCGTTCCCTCTTCTTGAGGATACACCTCAGCCCTTTCTGTAGCAGAGCTTGCCCCAAACCAGCCCACGTGCAGTGTCCTGCTCCCGTCCACTGGGCTTTGAAGACCTGGACACCAAGTGTTTCATGGACGCCTCCTAGAAAGTCGCGCATAGGGGCCTGCAGCCCTTGCTGGAGGTGGGTGTGTGCACCTGTCACCTGTCTTGCAGGTTGCTCGCCGGCATGATGCTGGGGCAGGAGGCCGCCGCCCGCAGATGTCAGAATGGCCGAGCTGGATGCAGACTTGGATCATGTCGTCCCCTGTTCGGTTCTGCCTCCCTTCTGGGCTAAGTTCGTAGTGGGGTTCGTTTCCCTCGTGTGCTTCGCGCGTAGCTACGATGGAGACTTTGTCTTCGACGACTCCGAAGCTATTGTGAACAATAAGGTTTGTATCTGGATTCTTTCCCAGCAGACTGAAGTGCACCGTTTGCCCATGGCTCCGTGTTACTGAAGTGTGTGTTGCGTGATTCTCTATGAAACTTCAGGCCAGTGTCGGCCTGGGCACCCCTGGTGCCTGAGGTGTCCCCTGGCTGTTAGGTAGGGCCTTTGATGTCGGGGGCAGTGTCAGCTACCCCCGCCCACACATGTGCCAGAGGGACGGTGGTTCTGAGATCGCAAGTGCATTGCAGACTGAGTATCTCAGGTTTGATGACAAATTTCCAGGACTGTAGACCAGCACTATTAAAAAAAAATTAAAAAGCACCCTGCATTTGCTCAGTGACGGACAAGCTGATCCCCAGGCAGCCGCCTTCTCAGCAGTGGGCAGCACGGCTGCCTCTTTGTCCTTCAGCGAGAGCATCAGGGCGCCTGCTGGCCACGCCAGGACCCCGGGGCGTGCTGCCCGCAGATGCTGCACTTCGGCTCCTCAAATCGGCTGAATTTGCAGAAGCCCAGCCCGGCTGGCTCACCCGGGCAGCTGTGTCAGTGCAGGGGAAGTGATATTCTCCTGCCCTCCCTAGCTAGAGACGGGAGAAAAGGTCACATGAGCTGCAAGGAAAAGCAGAACAGGTGGCTCAGGCGGAGGCGAGAGTTGGGGCGCTGGCTGGACAGAGCCCGTGTCCGGGTCCATGTCAGCGTGGTTGCTCGGCAGGCACCCTGCGGGGAGGGGCGCCAGGGTGTCGGCCGCGGCCCCTTAGCAGAGGTGGTAGCGATTGCGCTGGGGTGGCATGCTCTCGAGGTTTTGAAGTCATGACTTCTCCCCGACCAGGAAAAAGTCATTTACATGTTGAAAATACTGAGATAAATGTTCTGTGTCCCAGAGCGGTATTTTATGGGGCTGGGGGAGGGGATGGCTTTGCAGCTGTGCTATTTGTAACTGTCCTCAGTTTCGATGGTGGGCTCGAGCTTGTCTGGTGTTTGTTTTCAGTTTAAATCTGCGTGGTCCTGTCCCTCAGGCTCACCCGGCAGTCCCTGCGGACCTTCAGTTCTTCCTCCGCCAGCCTGACCAGGGGAAGAAGCCAGGGTGGAGCTCTGAGCCCCTCTGTCAGCCGCAGGATCGTTTTCTCATAAGGCTTCAAAGCTCTGGACTTCATTTTTCTACATTTCTTCTTCCTTTTGTTGAGAGTTTCTTGAGTCTTTCACTTTTATGAGGTGGAAGATACACAAAGCAAAGCGTTAACTCAGTCTCCATCCACGAATTCCAGAGAACCAGGCCGGGAAAACGTGGGCTCTGGGGTGTGAGGGATGATGCCCAGGCGAGGCGGGGACTTCTCGGCCCTTGGGCGGAGGGAGGCAGAGGGAGCCTGCTGTGCCGTGTGTGCTGCAGCTGTGTGTGCTGCAGGTGTGTGTGCTCTGCTGTGTGTGTTGTGTATGCTCTGCTGTGTGTGCTCTGCTGTGTGTGTTGTGTATGCTGTGCTGTGTGTATGTGCTATGCTGTGCTGTGTGTGCTGTGTTGTGTGTGCTACGGCTGTGTTGTGTGTGTTGAGTGTGCTGTGCCGTGTGTGCTGCAGCTATGTGTGCTGTGCTGTGTGTGTTGTGTGCGCTGGGTCTGTGTGTGCCCCTCGTAGCAGCGCCCTGTGCAGCATCACACTGCCCCTTTGTTAACTTGCTCGCCTCCTCTCTTTCCTCTTGAATGAACAGCCTCCCCCCTGTGCCCTGGCACCGCGCCCACGGTGATGTGAAACAGGCTGTCCCTGGGTACTACTGGTGTAAAAGGCCGTTTTCCAGATGCTTCCTTGTGGTGTCGAGTTGCCTTTTTTCACTGAGACGATGCTTTTCCTTGCAATGGCGGTGTCGGCAGACACACCGCGTCTTTTCGTAAATCACAATGAGGAAAAGTCGACCTTTCCTCCTGTGGCGCGCCCCGCTGCGAGCAGGCGACACCTGATCAAATATTTAGAGCCTCGTTGGTGCTCATTTCTGCTCTAACGGAAGGAAAGATGCTCTCCCTGCCCCTTGACAACCGACCAGGTGACAGAGACAATACAAAAGAACGTGGACTTCCAGTTTTGTGTTAGATTAATGGGTGGACCCCAGGACCTTCATGAGCAGTCCAGCCAGCTCTTGGAGGGAGGTCGGGGAAAGTGGATCCCCAGGGGAAGTGAGGTCCACCCTCAGAGTGGGTATCAGGTGACTGACTTTGCACGTGTCGCCTAACTCCAGCCTCTAAAGACTCAGCAAGCCCCTGCATCGTGGACACTTACTAATCTCCATTGCAGCTTAGGCACCGGCTACTGTTTTGGGGTGCTCATCCTTTGGCACACCTCTTGGTTTAGAGCCTTCCCCACCTTGTGGGGGTTACAAGCCGCAAAGAGCATCCGCTCTCCTTCAGAGGCAGGAGCTGGGGGCTGCAGACGTTCAGGCAGCCTCAGCAGAAGGCCCGGTGTGGGTGTGATTTGTGGGTGCATTCTGACTGCACGCTCCCCAGCCAGTTTCCCAGCCCCCCTCCCACCCACCGGAGACAGTCTTGCCCTCTCCTTGAGAGCCTTCCCTTCTTGCTCGTGTCAGTCACAGTAGGTCTGGATTCCTACAACAGCATCTTGACCGCCCCGCTTTGCTGGGTTAGCGCGTCATTTCTCGCCCCCAAAATATTCCTGTTGTGCCTTCAAGAAAAATTAATGCTGCCTTATTCCTCACTCCACAGTGCTTTGCCTGCCTATCATCTTGTAGACACAGTTTAATCAATCTATTTTCCTGTTTAAATGTAAAAAAGACACGTTTTTAAGCAGCCGTAGCACAGCAACAAATTAAGTGCCCTCAGCAGCAAGAATGGTGTAGTTTTTTTATTACTCAGTGATTTTATCTTCTAAAATAAGGTGAAGGTGTTTTTTTAAAACTTTACAATCTGCTTAACTTGTGATCAAAAATGGGAAATTTTTTAAAAATGTTTTTCCATTCCTGTGTTTTCCCTGGGATGTTTCTAGTAAATAACCTTACATAGTAGATATGAGAGAGGATAATGGTGATCTCTGTGGTTCATTCAGCATGGATTAGGCACTTTTGTGTACTGCCAGCCGACACAGATGAAGCCCTGTCCAGTGGGCAGACAGAGCATGTCATGTGGTTATGCATCGCCAGCGTGCTAGGCGCTGGCAACAAGCTGTGAATTGCTGAGGGCTGGCGCTCAGGGTGGAGACCTGGTGCGAAGCCTTGGGCGTAGGTGCTGCAGCTGTGTGAGGACGAGGCGAGGGCCAGTTCCAGCAAAACAGACCCCCATCAGGCTGCAGAGGTTGGCAAGAGCCAGAGCCCCCCAGACTGTGACATTCATGCGGGGACATAGACATTGTCCTGGGGGTGGGGGACGGTGGTGAGCTCTTGTAGTGTTTGAAGCAGAATGGGTTGGGGGGGTCATGATTTGCATTTTGGAAAGGTTGGTGTGGAGCCCTTGTCAGAGGGCGCAGCAGACCCACGAGGAGGCCAAGCTGCCCGTGGGTGAGCGATAATGGGAGGAGCCTGGCCAGGACTAAGAAGCTGGCGACGGAGGGCTGGAGGACTTCGAGGAAGCCTTGACGAGGGGCGAGGGGGAGGCATGGCGCCTTGTCCAAAGTGTCCTCTCTGTGTCCCTGCAGGACCTCCGAGCAGAAACGCCCCTTGGGGACCTGTGGCATCATGACTTCTGGGGCAGCAGGCTGAGCAGCAACACCAGCCACAAGTCCTACCGACCTCTCACTGTCCTGACCTTCAGGTGAGACGGGGGCAGGTTGTGCCAGCTTTTGTGTGGCGAAGCTGCCAGTGTCTGGAGTGGCTGGTTCCTGCTATAGTCCAACCTGCTCACAGGGGCCTCCAAGAGCGCGCACACCGCCATGCCTCGGAATTAGGTCACAAGACAGGGCCAGTGCACTAGGAAACTGCATGTCACCCACTATGGCACTGCAGAGGTCAAGAGCGCCCTGCTTCGGGTTGACATGCAGACTGGCAAACATGCCAGAGCCCACTCGCTTCCTGCAGATCGGGCCCTTAGCTGGTTGACACCCTGGAAATAATATGAGTCAATATCTTGACGATTGTGGCATCTAATGACATTATGGGTTTTTTTGTTACAAAAAAATATGAAAGGTCTGAATCTTCCTCCTGTCCCCAAGTCAATATGCAATACCAAAGCGAAGCTAAAACAGCCTCACCGCCTCACCCCCATGTGACAGGGAACTATTTGCATGAAATGGAATTACTCACCTCCCAAAAGCTGCCACCCATCGCTGTTCTTGGGTGCATTTAATACTTGTGTGCATCCTTGGGTGCATTAAATACTTGTGCAAAGATCTCTCCACAATGCACAGAAATGCTGAGCTGGGACCACCAGTCATTGAAACAGCAGTCGGAGAGAAACCCCTGCCAACGAGAGTGTTTGATTGGACAGAGCTGGTGGGCACACGGTCCATCTGTGAAGGCGTCCTTCTTATTGTTATTACTGTGGATAAGCAACTTACCTGACCATCTGAAGCCCTGGTCTCCTCCCCTGGGGTGGCATGAGACATAGGTGGTACATACTATCTTTTTGAATGCTATCTTGCCTTTTTTTGCAATTAAAAAAAAATGTCTAGCTTTCCCTTTGCTTTTCCTCCCGGTGTGTTTTCTGGTCCACGTCCCTGAGGCGCCCTTATCTTCCATTTTTCCCTCTGCAGTTAATTATGTTCTACCTTTGCTTCAACCCTCCTGGCTTGACAGGCACTATTTATCTTGACGCTATTTTTACCACCCTTGCGCCCCTTCTTTCTCTTCTCCCTCTGATATCTTCACTTCTCAGCCCGTTCTCTCAGAGGCTGTGCATTTGTTTCTGCCTGCCCCCCAACAGCCAGTGTGACCCCGGCTTCCATTCCTGCAGGATCAACTACTACCTGGCAGGGGGCTTCCACCCCGTCAGCTTCCATGTGGTCAACATCCTCCTGCACAGCGGGGTCTCCATCCTCCTGCTGGATGTCTTCTCCGTGCTGTTCGGGGGTCTGCACTACACCAGTCGGGGCCGCAGGGTGGACCTGGCCCCCCGATCGTCCCTGCTGGCCGCTCTGCTGTTCGCCGCACATCCAGTGCACACCGAGTGTGTAAGTGTGGTCCGCCCTGGTGCACACGGCTCCGGCAGGGACAGGAGCGGGTGTGTGGCTGCTTGTGGCTAAAACAACCTTCCCGTAAATCCCCAGGAGCCTGATAACTGCCGTGCCCCAGCGCCTGACACAGTCCTGTGTCGGCCCCACATCTGTCATGAAAAAGGCAGAGCCCAGGCTGCTGAGGACTTTTTTTTTTGGTAGTCTCGTGTAGTTGGGTATGCCTGCCACCATTCTGTTTGCTTCCTGAGTGTGCCCCACCTCTGCTGAGCTTTCCATCTTTTAATGCCTTTGTTTAGGTGAGGTGTTTTTTTTTTATTCATGCCTTTCTCCTGTCAATTTGTTATTTCCTTGTTGTCACATTGCTCTTTTAGAGGTTAGTGCACGAACTGGAGATCCTTGCACATCACTAATGTTACTGCAGATTAATTCTCTTCTCACATTGTGAACAAAGAGAACTTAGCTGGTTGCTGCTGAGGCTGTGGGGCTTCTTTCCTGGCATTTTTAAAAAAAAGATTTATTTTATTTATTTATGCATACAAGGGCTAGGGTGCAGGCCAGAGGTGCAGGGGGCGAGAGAATTCACCAGAGACAAGAGCGGGGAACAGAACAGGCAGCCTGACTGAAATACACTGCTGAGGGGAGCAGCGGGTGAGTCAGGAGAGGTCTGCTGCGCCATGTGGGTTGCTCCCTGGACGGCCGGGAATCGAACTTGTGTTGCAGAGGCTGCGGACAGCTTCACAGTGCTGAGACTTAACCCCTTGCGCCACCAGGGAGGCCCCTTTCCTGGTATCCCTTAGACCTCTTGGACCCTTCTCCCCACCCCTGTTAGCCTCAGAAACCCCAGGTTAGCTGGCATTGTCTGCTCGTTGACAGTTACTCACTTTGATAGTCTATCCACACTTTGTTTCTTCTTTTACTCCTATATGTGAAATCATCCAATATTTATCTCTTCCTGATGTGCTTGGCTTTGCAGAGAAGACTTTATAATAACAGAAGGTTGTGTGCTCTAGTGATTCTTTCTGTTTTGCTGACATGACCGCGTAGTACAGTCTGGATATTGAATATTGCCTGGCCCTGGGGCCGAAAGGCAGAGGCTCAGCCCCCCTCTTCACAGAGGGTCTGAGGTGTCATTGCTACGTGAGCTACTATTGCCCAGAGCTTTGTACTTGTCAGGATACTTTCTCATAGCTAATGTGGTTGTCATAAAACTCAGTGGGGCCAGCTTAGCAATGTCCACTATACCGAAGAAATGGGAATTTTGGGCAAAAGTAGTTTTGTTTTTTATATATATATTTCTTACATCATTTTTCAATTTTGCACAATAGGTGCGTTTTCATCTTGATTATAGTCCCCATACAATTCCCACCACCTTTGTTTTGATCTGACAGATAGTTTTGGTCTTCCTCTAATCTAGTGTGATCTTAAAAGCAAAATGAAATACTTGCATTATTAATCAAAAACATTTTTTCTAAAATTATGATTTTAAATATTGAAAAATTACTTTAATAGAGAAGCCTGAATCGGCAGCAGTTATGACTGGGTGAGCACACACCCACACCCATACTTACCCCATGAATGCAGCTTGGGAATGTGTCAGTCCCAAATCCTGTGTTTGAGGTATTTAGAAAGAAGCCAAGGGATACCTCGCTATAGGAGAGAAGGGAATGCTTGAAAAACTCTCTAGTCTCTGCTGCCCCTCCAAAAGCCATTCTGACTCAAATTGCAAGAAAAAGTGATGGATCATTAAAAATTCATAAGGCCAGTATCTTATGTTTACTTTTCCTTATTTTGACAAATAATTCAGTTTCCTCCTATCTGCAGCTCCTGTTACCTCCCACTCTGAATTTAACCTGCTTCAAAAATGAGCAGACAGCCAATCCCCCAAGCAGCCTGTTAGGAGAACTCTGCAAAGCCCCCGGGACCAGAGTCTCACTCACACACAGCCCTGGACATGGCCCCTCCTGGGAGCTGGTCTGCGGTGAGCACAGGGACTGGGTCGTCACCCGCTTCCGTTTACACCAACCGAGGGAAAGTGCAGCCTGCAGGCCCTGCCGCATTTCGATAACATCAGTTTCTTTATAGGAACACGTGGTATAGAAACACCGGGCATGTTTCTGCCTACTGCAAACAGGAACCTAAATTTCCTGGTCTCCTAGGTGAGCTACCATCCAGCTTCCCCAAACTAACGGGGTCCTGGCACATGGGACTTTGTATTTCAGAACCAGAATGGTCCCAGGCCAGCAGGGATGCCCCCGTCACCCTGCAGCCTTCTCCCCTGCTGGTCCCCAGCTGGAGTGAAATTGTTGCAGTCAAGGGTATTTGTTCCTCGACTGTCTCTTGTGTCCCCATGTAGTCCTGCGCCGCTTAACGCACACACCAGGTGCTCCCGCAGCCACCCCGTCCAGCCTAGGAGTGAGTGGCTCTACTGTCTGAGTTTGTGGGATGACACAGTGGCGTTCACACAACAACAAGATCACAACATATCCTTATAGGACATGTGAGTGTTGGTGCAGGGGAAATCCCCCCACCCCTCGAGACTAGTCTAGCAAACAGATTAACATCAGACACATTAGGAAGGGAAAAAATAACAAATTTAAATGCATATGTAATTAAAACTTTAATATGAGTGTTTTAGGTTTGCAGGGGGGGAAAAATAGCTTTTAGAATTTCCATAGCTGTAAGTTCTAGAGTAAATGAGACTGAGGATTTAAATCTGAGCTGAGGGGCCTCCCCAGTGGCGCAGCGATTGAGCGCTGGGTTGCCAAGCTGCCCGCAGCCTCTGCAGCGCCGGTTCGATCCCCGGCTGCTCTCCGGCCACCGGAGGAGGGTCCCACATGGCACGCAGACCTCTCCTGCCGCCCGCTGCTCCCCTCAGCAGTGTCCTTCGGTCCTTCTGCCTGCTCTGCTTCCTGCTCTGGCTCTGGCGAATTATCTCACACTCCCGCACTTCTGACTGTACCCAGTGCTTGTATAAATAAATAAATATTTTTTTAAATTAAAATAATAATAAATCTGAGCTAAGGAATAAGATGGGTCCCAGGGCATCAAGGAGAGGGAGGGGGTCTCGCACCAACAGGTGGGGGGCTCATGACAAAAACAGACTCTAGTTGTTTGTCCTTCCCGGATAGGTTTCGCTGATAGAAAAGGGTATTTCTGGAGGTGGTCCTCAATCTGGGCTAGCTTCATTCTTTTAGGTCATGGGAACAGATTCTCAGGAAGCTTCCACTGACCTCAGCTCCACACAGGTGGAAAAACAATCTGAACATTTTGGGGGAGGTCTGCCTTTCACCAGCACGCCCCCAATCATTCTGGGTATTCATAGGCCCGTGACATGTTGGACAGACCAACCACCTGTGGGTGGAGGAAGAGGGCTAGCAGCGGGGCGGGTCTGTGATTGTCGGGGTAGAGTCTCTCTACCGCGTCTCTAAGGACGCCAGTGCCAATGTCGGCTTTCCTTGCTCCAAAGCTTTGCTAAAGATTTCAAGTTGCCAAAATTTGAGTGCCAGAGAGGGAAATTCAGGCCGCCCTAAGAATTCAACAAGTAGAAAATTGGATACAGAAGAAATTTAGTGGGGAGACCTCTTCTCCTGCCCCTTCCCCTAATTCCTTTTGATCACCCCGGTGCAAATCATGCCTCGTGGGGTTCCTGCTTTGTGGATTTCGGGGATTGCCATGATTTCTCCAGAAAACCCTGATAGGAGTGTTTTTAGTTTTGTAAGAAAAAAAAAGATAGCCTCTTTAAAGAATTTTGCCTGAGAGTACATATTATGCAAATATCAGAAAAAGAAAATCCCTCAGCCCAGGCCCCTCCCCTAGCTACTGCCTGCAGCATCCTCATGAACAGCCTTTCAAGTGTTTTTCTATGAAATCTCTCTTTTATTACTGGGCCTGATTAAATCACTTGCTCTGTTTTTTAAAACATGTTTTGCTTCATGTCAGATGAGATAGCATACATTGTTTAAGCCGGGAGACTCTCGTAGCCAAGGGAAGAGGTTGGATTTAAAAATGACACTGTTAAAGTTCATTTCAGTGCAACTTTAAATGTACCTCAGCTCCCCAGTCAGCAACCAGTCCAGGCTGGTGTCCTGGGCCCCAGCCCCTATCCAGACCACCCCTTCCCCTTCTGCTCACTTTTAAGAAACCTCATTCAACTTAACCCCTTTTCTCCCCTCATCCCCTGCTGCCTTGCCCCCCTTTGAATAAACTCCTCGGTTTAGCTCCTGAGCCTCTGTGAGGTTCGGGAATCCCTCCTGTGGGGCCACTGCCAGCTGGCAATGCCCCCATGTCTTTCTGGTCCTGGCAGGAGGCCAGGGGACCAGGCTGCTCCAGCTGCTCCTCATTCTTCCTTTTGGGGTTTCCAGAGCACATTGGGTGAGGGGAACTCCCGTGACTGGGCTCTCTTCGGGGGGTCTCAGCCTGTGCAGATGGCGCAGCGAGCTCATAGGCCAGAGCAGACCCACTTCGTTCCTGAAGAGACTGCTGCTGGGCCCTCCAGCCACCAGCTCTCAGTCCAGATCTGTGAATCTGGCTGCATGACAGTTCATCAGCTGGGCAGCTGCTGGGAATCACATGATATGCGCCCCTCCTCAGGAGTCCCCAACAGGATGCACGGCTTTACTAAATACCTCATCTTACCAGGCCGGGGAAACAGCTCTTCCAGAGCTCCAGACACCACCTGTGAACAGCACCGTTGTCCTGCTCTCATGTATTCTTTCCTCTCCACCTGCGGGGCCATCTGTTCTGCACTTCCTGTATCTATGATTTGCCCTTAAAGGAAAGATGAAGTTACTGGCCATTCCAGCGATACCTAGAGGACCACAGGGAAAGCTGTGACATGTCACATCTGGGGTTGCCGGCTAGTGACAAAGGCCACAGGGCTCAGGAGTGGAATTCTGGGCCCTCGTTGCCCATAATCATTCAGAGAATTATTGGCAAATGGCGTCATCAGCAAGATGGTCCATGTCACTGCAGTGAAGAGGGGCAGAGCAGAATCGGATGGGAGAATCTCACTCTCGCCAAGCCTTGTGCTTTCTGAGTTAACACACTTAACTGGTTCAGGTCTGGAGGGAGGAAAAGCTGGCAGAGGCAGCTGGAAAGGATGATTCCTGTGTCTTTTTCTGTCTGCCCAATGACTTTTATTTCCCTCCTCTCTGTCCTTCATGTTTGTGATCAAGTTTTCTTTTTACATATCATGTCCTTGAGCTGAGGACATTTTCCCGTGGACACTCCACTTTGGAGACCTGCTGGGCAGCACAGGTCTCTGGAGCCCTTGGGCCCACTTGCCAGGAAGCAGGCCTTCCCGGCACATATGCGCCCCGACCAGCGCATAGCCCAGCTGTCTGGGCTCTGCCCCGGCCCGGCTTAGAAGCAGCTGGGGCAGGTCCTGTTCCAGAAGAAGGAAAACCCACGGTCAAGCCTGACGACAGCCACACAGCCGGTTCCTGGGCCACAGCCTCTCGTCAGGCTTTTACTTTCTCTTTGTAGAGGATTTTTTGGTATCTCTCAGGTTTGGGATGTGTTCGCATGTTTTTTACAAACATCTTTTCTCTTCCCTCCCTTAAGGTTGCTGGAGTCGTCGGCCGGGCGGACCTCCTGGGCGCCCTGTTCTTCCTCCTGTCTTTCCTTGGCTACTGCAAAGCCTTCAGAGAAAGTAAGCACCTGTCTGCCTTCTTCCCACGAGATGGGGAGTGCTTTGTCTATACATGTTCAGGCCTTGAGGGACGTGGTCTGAGGTGAACGCCCTTTCCACGTGTCTGTGTACTCCGCTGCGCCTCAGATGACACAGGCTCTCTGTCCGTGTGCACGTGGCGCATCCTGTCACGATGCCTGCTCCTGAAGCTGTCAGGGTTGATTTTTGTGATTTTACTTCAATTGGAATGGGCAGGGGAGGCTTTTGGTTATCTTTTATTGAAGTGTCTTGGAGGAAAAATACTAAAAAGAGAAGCATGCTGAAAGAGGTAGCTGTGGCCACACCTGCACCTTGCAGCCTCGTGTTTTCATCGTAGCTGACGCGACTTACAGGTCACTGTTGGAATTGAAATGGTGGAGGGAGGTGGGGATTGGGGGGTGCCTGGTTATTAGCAGCTGTGCATTTATTGCATTTATTGGGACACTGTAGAATCCCTGTGTGACTGTGCTTATGATACGGATTCTGATCCTCTCTGAGTCACATTCTCTACTATCAACCTCTGAGTTGTTGATAGTAGAACGCGCCTACATGGTTACCCAGCAACAGTGTTACACATGCACTTTCTGTGATAAAGACAGCGCAGACGCAGAACTCTCTCCTTGTAGATCACAGTCAGTTATTTGGGAGAGAGAGGAGGGAAAGGGAAGGTGAATCTCCTTCCCTACAGGAAATCCGCTACAGGATTCACGCAGAACCAGGTGTCCATGCCGCCTACACCTTTTCCCCCGGTTTTACTCAAAGCTAAGCACAATCCTGGTACCAGGGACTTCGTGTAGTTGTTCCTAGGCTGGTGTTTCTACCTTGATCTCTCCTGTAGAGTAGTGTCTTCTCCTAGCGAAGGGCATATGGCTCATTCAGAATTGGGTGTGTGATGGGGCTGGTGACAGGGGACGGCTGAGGCCTGGGAATGGAGATCCGGCACCTGCCGCTCAGGGTCCTGTGTTACTGCAACACAGGCACCCCACCCATTTTCCCTCAGTCTCTAGGGCTGCTTCTGACTTAAAACAGCAGAGTCATTCGTTTTAAGAACGGCCGTCTCCTGCCAAGCTGCAAATACTTACTGCCCGGTGCTTTGCAAAGTTTGCCAACCCCTGGGAGAGCTGTCACCATCAGAGAGGGCCAGAAAAGTTTTTCTTTAGCAGCACTGAGTAGGGATGTCTGCAGGAAGTTTTTAACTTTCCAACGGAGGCGACTTTGATTTCATGTACTAGCTGCCATTTACTGTCGACTCTTTGTGTGTGTGCATGTGTGCATGCATGCACATGCTTGCACGCTTATGTGTATATTTTCTTATTTAATTATGCAACATCCTTGCAGGTAGGTGGAATTACTGTTGCACCTAAGTGACTTTCCCCAGGTCACACGGCTTTTCACGGCAGACACAGGGTTACCCTCTGTCTAGCCGACTTCAGGGCCAGAGCAGCTGCACTGTGCTCCCTGCTTTCCTGTGCTCTGGGGCCACAGAGGCAGGCTTATCACACGGTCACGACAGAGGGCAATAGACACATTCCGTTCTGATGGCAAATCATTAAAACATTAGGTGTGATGGTGACATTGCATATATGCTTTTAAAAAAATCCTTTTCTTTTAGAGACACACACCGAAATGTTTATGGATGAGTTGACATAAGTTCTAGGATTTGCTTCATCGTAAGCTGAGCAGCATAGAGATGGAGCCAGATGGGCTGCAACTTGACCTAGTTTAGCTGAGCGTTGGGGCCAGAGGTTTCCTGGGTCAATGTCGCCACTATTTTTTTTCACTTTTTAAAAAGGATGTTGGTTTTTTTTAATGACCAGGTGTGTCACCAGATTAAAAATAAACAGATTTGATGACTTCTTAAAAATCTTTAAAACCTTGTTTTCATCTAAGGCAAGCAGATCATATATTCTTAAAGATTAGCATCCTTCCAGCATTACATAAAGCAAGTGATTTAATCATTGTGTTATGGGCTTGGGAGGAATTTTATTAAACCCAATGTAACACTATAATTTAGCAATTAAACATGAACAACTTAAAAATGTTAGAATATGGATGGAATACATTTATAAAATAATTGATGCCATAGTACATAGAGGATATTTAAGTAGTAAGTCATACAGTAAAACCAACAGCTGTGAACCCATCTCCCAATTGAACAAAAAAATCACCTTTTCTGAAATTAAAGCAGTTTGAGAACTCCTGCTTCCTCCCGTCTCCACTGCCCCTCCTCTCTCACCCTCTGCCACAAGGCGCCATCCCCGGGGCCTTTATGGATTTGGGAGACAAACTTCTAGAAAGTCAAACAACATCTCCTTTCTTTTCTCTGCCTCCCTCCAACTCCCAGGGATGCCACTCCCCAGAATCAGTGTTGGTGGGGTCACTTACCTGTCTGTCTGCTCTGAAGGATTCTCAAAGAGTTTCCAACACAAGTTTGCCTTTGAGGAAATGCTTTTGGAAGGTACAAATGGTACACAGACCAGGTTCTTTTGTTGTGATTTTTTTTAATGTCCTATAAATGAGTAGGAGTTTGTAGCAGACACAAACAGCTGGTTCTATTATTTAAGCCCCAATGGATTTTCCTCTTATTTTTATTTTGTTAAAATATATATAAGATAAAATTTCTGATTTCAACCATTTAAAATCGACCCGTTCTGTGACGTTTAATACATTCATATTGTTATGCAATCATCCCCACCATCCGTACTAGTAACTTTTTCATCTTCCAAACTATAATTCTGTACCCAGCAAACGGTAACTCCTCACTTCCCCCTTAGCCCAGGGTAGCTGCAATTCTGTCTATGATTTTGACAGTTCTAGGTACCTTGTTTAAGTGGGATCTTATAATATTTGTCCTTTTGTGACCGGCTTATTACCTTAGCATGAGGTCCTCAAGGTTCGTCCATGTTGTAGCTTGTGTCAGAATTTCGTTCCTTTTTTAAGGCTGAGTAATATTCCATTGTGTTATGGACCACATTTTCTTTATTCGTCTGTCAGTGGGCATTTGCATTGTTTCCACTTTTTTGGATGGTATTAATAATGCTGTTTTGAATGTTGGTGTACCAACAGACTCTTTCAAAGAGTAATAAACAACTTTTTAAATCCTTTTTTTTCTCCCTACAAGAAGACTTAGGCAGGATGCTGAGCTCTTCTAGGATGGGGCGTACTGTTTTGATGTTCTCAGTATTTGCAGTCATGCCTCCGTCATGCATTTCTCCAAGCCAGCCCTTTTCAAGTTCCGTGAAGTGTCATTTTATTAATTTCTGCATATCCCCCTTTAAAGTAACTATTCTGGATATACTTCAAAGACATCAGAAATGCCTTCTGAGGACAGTACTAAATGTGGCTGGATTTAGTATGCAGGGTGCATCATTACTATTGCTAAGGTTGCAGAATCGTAGAGAAACTATCAGGAGACTAAAAATTTTTCTGCAGAGTGAACATATCTCTATTAGCCTCCTTTAATGAAGCAGTCACAGAATGGTGAAAAGCTAAAGACATTTTATATTCTTTTCTTGGGTCCTTTACTAAGCATTTCTCTAACTAGTTCATAAATGTTATATATTCTTATGTCTTCTTCTATTTGGGATTTGATTGTAAACCCTGAAACTGTTTCGTGGAGTCATGCATAAAAAAGATTTTTTTTTAATAAAGCCTTTGGAAACTAAGGTAAAGGTGCTTAATATGCAATAGTTTTTCAATTATACTTTGATTGCTGAGAAGTTGTTGAAGCAGGAGGCTTCAGAATGGACAGAACTGTCTTAACTGTAACTAGCACTGTGACCTCTCTTTTGGGTCTTGTAGCATTCTTTTAACATTTAGAGTTTATATATAAACTTTAAAATTGGAAAGAAATTGCTGGGCCTTTAATGTTAAGGTCATAAATATTTTCAAGAAAGTTAACCCGCAAATACTTCATGTTTGCACACCGATGGCAGCTGTAGCTATGACTCCTTGGAAACCCTTTCAAGAATGAGAGTTGATTTTCACTTGTTTGCAGTTACTGGGAATAGTTAGAATATGAATGGGTCATTCGGGAAACCTTTGAAGAAACCTTTCTGTTGACCTCCTTCCCGGATCTGCTTCCCTGTTCACTTGAATCCACTTTAGGAAAAGGAAAGGCTAGATTAAAACAGCACCAAGGGACCCTCTCCCGGGAGGTTTGGCCCTTTGCAGCCGCCCGGGGCTTACTTAGTCTTTGGAAATAGAAAGCTCTGGGAGGATGCCCCTCTACCTGCCTCTGGACGTCGGCCTTGACCCTGAACATAATTATTGGCCATGGGCTTTGTGTCCTCTCTGTCCTCTGACTGCCTCCACTGCCCAGGCAGGCTTTGAGTTGAAATCATAATCGCCTTTTCCTGGGAGCGCAAGGAAAACATCTCTCCAGCTGTTCACCCCGTCCTTCTGGGGTGGTGTTCGCTGCTCTTTGCAGTCCCCCCTCATTGTGTCACATCACAGACTGTCATGGAATGATGGAAGCCTGCCTGCTAAGGCGGATGTGGCACCAGAGGCCCAGAGCAAACAACCTGGACTCTTGGAGGGACCTACACCCACTGTCACCAGCTGTCTTGGGAGAAGACCCCGCACACCTAAGTCCATGCTCTGGCCCCTCCCGCAAGGACCTGTGAGCCCCACTCCTCCCCTCCTTGTTGTCCCTCCCCACAAGCCCTTAGACTGTGATGGAGCCCCTTAGAATCTTTCCTAGTCTCTGTTGACACAGGTGCTGTTTTCAGCAACTTTTGTTTCAGATTTCCATCTTCCTCTTTAAATATGCTGGGGCAGGGACTAGTCTCTATCTGTAGGTGACGCACAGCTGTTTGGGCCAACCCTTACAGCTCCTGTCAGTGTCGTCCCCCCCACCTGGTGACTTCGAGTCCTGGTAAGAGGAGCAAGGTGCTCACAGACGAATTGAGCCATCCCCAGCAGCAGCAGCGAGACCCCCATCTGCACCCATCATTCGTGGTAAGACCCATTTCTGAGTCTGC